TAGCAGTTGTGTCTCATTAATGAATTTTAATGTAAATACACTTGCTATTTAATACTCCAGTTAGAAATACATAAGTAAAATTCAAATCAATGTCATACGTATAAAATCTGTACACAAGTTCTTATTAATTATTGGAAGTTTAACAAGAGTATTTGGAAATGGGGCATTGGCTGGGGATAGCCGGGGTTCTCAGGTGGCACCGAGCATTCTCTCTGATGCTTGGATGGCTGGTTCTAAACCCCATATGTGGGGTTTAGAAAGAATTCCTCCCCCCCACCTCCCCAGGTCAGGTTGGCAGTGACCTTGGGGGGTTTTCACCTTCCTGCTCAGTGTGCGGGTATGAGTCACTTGCCAGGATTATCTGGGTTTTTCTCACTTAATCATTTCCCTGTTGCTGTGGGAGCCTTAGGCACTAGTGCACCTTCGTACCTCCTATTCTCTGCCTGTGCAGATAGTAGTCTAGTCTCCTGTGGGCTATAATACTTTTGTCTAATTTTGATTGTTGGGCTTATTGTGCAGGTGCTCGGAGGAGGTGGTGGCCTGTGATATACAGGAGGTCAGAATAGATGATCGGGTGGTCCCTTCCAGCCTTAAACTCTGTAACAATATTTTAAATAACAAATATGCTGTACTTGGAGAAAGTAGTGTTCAGCCTTGATTAAGACAGTTTGAAGACAAGGCACTAGAAATAAAAAAATTCAACCCAAAAGAACCACAGCCAAACAAGAAATCAAATTATATTAATTAGATTTACTAATGTGACAAATCCACTTCAAAAGGCGATGGGAACAAGAAAAAGATGTAAATGATTAAGAGGATATCAGACAAAGAAATAGCCTCTAATGGATTTCATATCCTCTCATTCTCAGGCATAAGGGAAACAAAAGAGGTGGCAATTTCATAATCCAAAAGGAAACGCGCACAAATCTGAGTCTGAGATCAGGGGTCTCTATGGATTAATTCTTTTTAGAGAGGAAAATGGCAATCATGAACTAGAGACGTGGCATGAGGCATTTGATTCACTAAGTGGATGAAAATAGTACAGATAAAGTTATATGCCCAAATAACTGTAATTGTACATTTATAAGCCAGACAGCTGACCTAGCATTTCTGAGATAATAACTTTGATTTATTTTTTATCAGACTGACCACAATCTTGCTAATCAGATGATTATAACAATTGCAAGAAGAGTCAGACTAATGATTTCAGTTTGCTTTTAAATGTGGCATAGTTCATATGATAAAATCACAGGTACATTTCAGACAGAGACAATTAGATCCTGTTGCCAGTGATTGATTGTACATAAAGACTGTCATGAAATAATTGGTTGTCTAGATAGAGCAGGGTTAAAATTCATTAGCAGAAAAAAGGGGGAAAGACTGAATCACCCCTGCTAAAATTCACCTGGGCATAAATGAAGACTTTGATTTCGTACTTCAACAAGTAACTACTTTTCATTGGAAAAATAGTCAACTCCTAAATTAAAACAACACAACTGATCTCATTATGTATCTGATCTGTTAATTAGGTGGTCAATCAGTCTTGACCTTTATGCTTCCCTTACCACTGTCAGGGCCGGCTCTAACTTTTTTTGCTGCCCCAAGCAGCAAAAAAAAGCGCCGCCCCGCCGAGCCCCCTCAGCTGAGTGCCGCACCACCGGAACCCCCCCCCGAGCGCCACGCCCCGCGCCACCCCCCTGCCGAGTGCTGCGCCGC